CTCCCCGTGCTTCTCAAATATTTTATGTTGAATCTAATGAAGGAGAAAAAAGTTTAAGTGGCAAAAGTAGTTTTTAAACATAGTTTGATGCATACTGATCATGATGTGTTCAATAGCCAAAAGTCAGTGAATGCATTTCCTTTTTATTTCTCTTGCCCTCTGAGATAAGTTGTTAAGGGACTTTTTGGGCATACTAAGTGTTTGCTTCACATTGCCTCCCTCCCAGTTACAGGGAGGGAAGGGGACTATGATATTGATCAGTAGAAGCGTTGCTAATATTGTTTGGCAGGATTTCATGTAACTGCTTGATTTCAATTTTGGCTTTAAGTTTCCAGCCCTTGGAAAAGGATCTTATTTAATCCTAGCTTATAACTGCCATCAAAGCAAGGACTCTTCTGGTTTAACATTTTACTTTTGATATAACAGACAGAAATTTTATCCTGTATATTTTAATTTTTTTATAATTATGATGAAATAACAGACTATTTGCTTAACATTTAAATCTTGCCACCTTTCCTAAAGGATTTAAAGTTGAAAAAAAGAGAACAGATATATTGAGCATCTGCCCTATGCCAGGCTCTATGCTGAGTGAATCTGTACGTTACTTCATTTACTCCTTAGGACACCCATGTGAGGTAGTATGAGCCACATTTTGAAGATGAGACTTAAGGAGTGTCATGTGGCTAATAAATGAGGAGAGGGATCCAGCACTGGGCTCCAAAGCCCCTAACCATTATATGGAAAGCATGGATAAATATTTTGTGTATAGGACAATTAACATTACAAAAGAATATTTCCAGTAGAAGGGTCATACTGGGATAATCTTTAGTTTTAAAGAACAATACAGCATTGGAAAGGGGCAGTTAATAATTTTTATTAGTTAATTTCTATTCTAGAACAAAGAGAGTAGTTGTTGCAATGACCTAGTGAACAGTCATATTCAAATTCCTAGGTTATGGGCCTGAATTAGTGTAAAAGATAAGAATGGAGATTGGAAGGGATATAGATGTCTGCCGAATGTAATCATTTGAACTTTTGTAATCACTGTTTTCTTCTGAAAATTATTTGCTACTAAAGAGGTCACCGTCTCTCCTTTAGACAGATAATACATGACTACAAGCCTTGTCATTTAGGCTCCAGAATATTCACTGCAAGTAGTAACATTTTAAGCTAGAGAAGCACATACCCTTCCATTGCCTGCAGTTTTCTGTTCTTGTCAGTAGAATTCAGTTAGGATCTTCCCAGGCCTGTGACACATTCAGATAAGAAGCAGAGACAGCTGGCCAAAGACTGGAGAAAGGTCTTACCTTTTCCACATCTTCCCCCCCATTTCTGTCTGATACATTTTAGAAATACACAATCAAGAGATGAGATGTGGGGCTTAGGCTTGTGAAACATCTCTGCATTCATCGTTTCAGAATCTTCTGGGACCAAGTCTTTCCCTGCACCACCTGCCTCCTGTTCCTTCCCATCTCTTGCCCCACCAAGGAGTCCCCTTCCTCCCTTCATTCTGCTGCTGGTGATCTGTTTGCCTTCATCTCAATTTCTTATGCTGCCTAAGTAAATACAACAAGCATTGGAAATCTGAATTTGTGATTCTGAAAGGCATTTTAAAGTGGCAGCTTTTATGTGGTGCTGTTACATTTTTTTTCCTTTGGAAAGCAAAGCTCTGTGATAGCAGAACCCTTCTGTCAATACATACCTCATAGACTCCATAGTAGGGAATCTCTTGTAGCTAATACGATGTGAAAACAATGAGGGCCCCCAGTAGCTTCACTGGGCATGCGTTCTCGGATTTTTAAGATAATAGAGGTCCCTTCATTAAGCCAGAAGACCCTGGGTATCAATTCTGTCCTCTCTCCCTGCCTTGCAACACTGGGGGGAGAGGGGGGTGACTGGAAGCTTTGTCTGGATAAATAGTCATTATTGTAGTTTCATTAAATTACTGGATGTCTGGTTTTGTGCTTATTAAAGTTTATTTAAATCCTCAAAGTAAAATGATTTTTTCCCCAAATGCACAGCTTTGTGTGACTTGCATTTGGATTATCCCAGGGCAGCCTGAAGACTCCTTGTGATGAGCTGTGGTTCCCTTGTGTTGGGAGCCACAGAGGGCTCCGTGTACTCACAGTTCAAGCAGTCAATGATTCGTCCTTAGACATCCCTTGTCCAGCACACGGTTTGCTGGGTAAATAAATAAGAATTAAAAGACATGGTATCCATCCTTCCAGAGAAAGACTTAAAAAACTTAAGTGTTCTGTGTGCTTTATGTCCCTGTCCTCAGAGCTTTACAGTCTGGTGAGTTAAACAGCAAGATGAACAGTTTTTACCGCACAAAAACAGATACGTATGCTGTGATGTGGGGCAGTGTGGGTGGATCAGGGAGGCATCCTGAGAACACTGAAACTGAAGGTTGAGTAGAGTTAACCAAGTAACGGGGAGGAAAAGGGTTTTCAGGCAGAGTGAACAGCATCTTGAAGTCCCGATGAGAGCGTAGAAGAGAGACAGACAGTACTTTGAAGCAGTGACATTTAGTGGGAGTGGCAGTCATGGGCAAAAAGAAGAGGTAGATGCCCGGCCGGGCGTGGCTCAGGGGTTGAGCGTTGGCCTAGGATCCAGGCGATCAGGGTTTGATTCCCGGTCAGGGCACATGCCCGGGTTGCGGGCTCGGTCAATGACTCTCTCATCATTGACGTTTCTCTCTCTCTCCCTCTCCTGTCCTCTCTCTGAAATCAATAAAGATATATTTAAAAAAAGAAAAAAAGAAGTAGGAGCCAGGTCTTGAAGGGCTTTAAGAATCAAATCATAAAGAAGTTTACACTTTATTCTGTGAACAGTGTGAAGCCATTGGCTGGTTTTTTATGTTAGTAATACAAGCTGACTCCACCAGAGCCCAAGGAGATTTCAGGCCAAAATAAAGGCTTCTAGAGTTTGGGGTCCTAATACCTGTGCTACAACAGGGAGACATGAACTGGGGGTGGGGGAGGTATATGTACTTGAACCATCTGACAGCCTGGAGCCTTGAAGGACAGCCCCTTGCTTGGAAATCGGTCCAGTGATCAGTCAGAAGGGCATGGCAGTGGAACCTCCATAACCTTGGTAGGACAGAAATCACAGGCACAGGCCCAAATAATACCAGCTTAATTCAGGAACTCGGAGAAATTAACATGAAAACTGATCCAAGATCATTGAAATCAGTAGTGTTTAGGTAGAAACAAGTGAAATTCTATACAAAGAGCTCACTTTTATAACCTAGGGCTCTCAGAACTCCCAGTGTGAAAACAATCTCATTGAAGATGGGCATAACATTTTAAAAATTACAAACTGCCTGAGGAAATAAATCACCTTGAGGTAGAGACAGCAAATTCAATAGTAGGGAAATTAGCATATGAAGATCTAGAGAGGGGACTCTAAAACAAACTGAAAGTGTGTAGTAATAGTAAGTATTTTAGGGTAATGGAAGAGGAAGCGTGAAGAGCAGTGGGATACAGATCATAAAAATGAGTAATACGGTCCTTGAAATTACACACTTGGGCAACAGTGCATTCGACACAGCTGTTAAGAGTGGATTGAGAGCTGTCTGAGGCAGTTCTGTTGAAGCACAAAAGGACTGAAAAGCAAATTTCTCAGGTTACACGTGGAGACTGCAGCTTGGTCTGGAGGGGCCAGGGCGGCGATACCGGTGGTAAAACTTGGACCCAGTCACTCATTCAGCACTTGAGTGCCTGTTGCGTGCCAGTGAGGTGTGGGAGCGGAGGATGTTGTCACTTATTTTAAGGATTCTGGTAATGCCTTTTAGTGGCCTGACCAGGTAGTGGAGATGAGATGGATGAATCTAAAAGAAGTTTAGAGGTAGAATTAACAAAATGGGTGAATAATAGAGTAGAAACAATGGAGAAAAAGGCTGATTCTTCTGTTAAAGTAGGAAGAAAACTTCAAAGTGGAGGTTTATTCATTTAAGTGCATTTTCATTGTGCGCTTTATTGTAGGTATAGGAGATTGAGAAGCAAAGCCCCTTCCTGCAAGGCGTTTCGCTGGAAAGATAAAAGGGCTCTTTGATGTGACAGATACTGTGATAGAGATGTACCCAGGTTGCTGTGGAATCACAGTGATTTCTAACTATGTTTAGGGATGGGGGGAGGGGATCAAAGAAAACATCTCAGAGGATGTGAAGCCTGAGCTATGCCTTGAAAGATAAGTAAAGTCTAACCTAGTGAAGGGTAAAGAGTCAGAAGGAACTACACGTTCAAAAGCCAAAGGACGTTTGTGTTCTGTGCATGCGCACACGTGGGTCTGTGAAAGGACTGAGAGGAGGGCGAAGGGGGTAAGATGAGGGTACACATAATATATGGTACTCGGAAGTTTGTATTTCACTTGGAAGACAGGGAGGGTTGATTGAGGGTGTTAACTAGGGACCAGATTTGCCAGAGCTCTCTCTTTGTGACTGGTAACTTGAGAGTAACATGTCTGGAGGCAGCTAGCTCACGTTTGGAGGCAGTTTTAATCCAGAGGAGGACTGATCCAGACCCAGCCTGCAGATCTTAGGGATGAAGAAGAGGGACCTGTCATGAAGAATCAGGAACACCATGCAGCAGTGAGGGTGGGGTGTAGATGCCATGCGGAAGGAACAACTTCCTACAGGCCTGGAAGCCGGAGAAGACCCTGTGCATTTGTTACAGCCAGGGAGTCAGAGTAGGGTAAGAGGTGAAGGAGGAAATGGAGCGAGAGCTGCTTGTGAAGAGCTGCATGTCCTGCTGAGGATTTTGGAACTGATCTTACAGTAAGAAAGTATTTTATCCCCATCTGAGGATATGTGTTGTTGTTTTTATTTATTTGAGAGAGAGGAAGGGGGAGAGAGAAGCATCAGTGTGACAGAGGAACATCGATTGGCTGCCTCTCATGCAGGGATCAAACCTGCAACCTTTTGGTGTTCAGGATAATGCTCCAACCAACTGAGCCACCCGGCCAGGGTGGAAATTATTTTTTAAATGTTGAGTGATGCAGTTGGAACTATAATTTAGAAACATTTTAAGAAGTTAACTTTGGGGTGCCATCACTGTTCTAAGCACTTCACATAGTGATACATTTAATCCTCAGTAATTCTGTTCGATGAACACCATAATTACCTCCATTCTATAAATGGGGGAGCAGGCCTAAGGAGGAAGAATTTGCCCATGACCTCGCACCTGGTGAACAGTAGAGCCAGGGTTCAGACCCCAACAGCCTGACTCCAGGACTCGCCCTCTTAACCTTGCACCCGAGGTGTTTCAGCCAAGGTGCACATCCAGACCACACACAGTTTCTAAAGATACAGCTGCCTAGATTGAATCAGAATGTCCAGGAAAATAATGTGTGATACTGTTCTGCAAAAGCTCCGCAGGTAATTTCGTTTCTGTTTGCTCACAGTTGAGTGCTGCCAGGATCCCAGTTAGGAGGTTATGGCATGGCCCAGGCAAGAGATGAGGGCCCAAACTAGAGCAGTCTGGGCAAGAAGAGGAGGGAACTGATCCAGAGCCTTAAGAGGTAGATTCAGTTTAATGAGCTGTAAGCAATGGAGAAGAGTCAAAGTTGAACCCAAGGATTACCAAATTGAATCTTGACGTAATGCGTGACAATCCAGCCAAGGCAGGAAGGGTTCCAGGAAGAGAAGAGGGTTGGGAGTAAGACTAATGAATTCAGTTTTGAACACTTGGGTTTGAGTGCCTGTAGGTCTTCCAACTAAAGATGTCTTCACAAGAGAAATGTTGCTTCTGGGGCGCTGATGTGCCAGCCACTGTAAGTGGCTTTCCTCCCTCTAACTCATTCAGTCCTCCCCTCAGATGTCTCAGAGTTCCCATTTTACAGAATAAATTAATCCTGGGTATGATTCAGTTCAGAATGAACTTCAGTAAGGCCTTTTCTGTCTATTTCAGCCATGTTGGTGTGTCTCTTCTGAGAAGATACATTCTAGTTTATGTGTGAATGTGTTTGTAGAGCAGACCTTGGTCAGTACCAGTTTTTAGCAGGTGATTATGATGAATCCTTGCTGCTGGCCGTTTTCCTTTTAGGTTCACAAGTCCCATGAAGTAGAAATGCAGTATTTTTCTATGGGTGTGAACATACCTTCGGCCTAGTCATCCTATTGCAACTAGATCTATTGTCAGTATGGTCATGAGATTTGGGGAAAGGAGATTTAGTAGTTTGAGGAAGTGTTACATGTGCATGATTATGATTAAATTCATAACTGCTATCCCTGTGTATAATTCTAAGCTTATACTGTTTGTCTCTACTTCTCTACCCCAGGTCCTCGAGGTGCCCAGGCTGAGACTGGGGGGTAATGACAGTGTGAGCTCTAGATGGTGTGAGACCAGCCCAGAGCCAGAAAATGGCTGCGGCCTTGGAACTGGAGGACCAGGATCTGTGGGAAGAAGAGGGGATTCTAATGGTGAAATTAGAAGACGATTTCACCTGTAGGCCAGAATCTGTCTTGCAGGGGGATGACCCCGTGCTTGAGACCTCGCACCAGAACTTCCGGCGCTTTCGCTACCAGGAAGCAGCAAGCCCTCGGGAAGCTCTCATTCGACTCCGAGAACTTTGTCGTCAGTGGCTGAGGCCAGAGAGGCGGACAAAGGAGCAGATCCTAGAGCTGCTTGTGCTGGAACAGTTCCTTACTGTCCTGCCCGGAGAACTGCAGAGCTGGGTGCGGGGCCAACGGCCAGAAAGTGGCGAGGAGGCAGTGACACTGGTGGAGGGTTTGCAGAACCAACCCAGGACACCAAGGCGGTGGGTGAGGAGGGGGAGTCCTGACCTGTGTGATGTGGAGGGGGACCATTTGCTCGAAGGATGGATTTGGGAGTAGGGCTGACAGGGCCCCATAAATCACCCTTTAAATGTAATTGGCTCTGCCCTTGGGTTGCGCCTAGATTCATAAGCCCCATGAGGCAGACGCAGTGTCTGTGTGTGTGAGTGTGACTTTCTTGCTTTTTGAAGCACTTCTTAGGGACTACTTTAAGGCTTTCATCCCCCCCAGGGTTATGTGGCTTTGGTTTTCCTGTCTTTGGATGTTGAATCTCCAGTTCCTGGGGAGGAAGATTTTGTCACTTTCCAAAGGTTCTCAAAAACCTTCAGTCACAGATTCCCACTCAGGTCAAGAAGGCAGGGAAGCAAACCACGAGGATTGCTGCGGGTGGGGTAGTGGAGATGGGAAGGACAGGACCTCAGCCCTGCAGGATAGAGACATGGTGAGGGAGGTGAGAGAGCAGTGCAGTATCTGACCATCCCTGCTTTATTCTGGTGAGGATAACTTTCAGCAACTCCCTGCGTGCCCCAGTGGAACTGGAGGTTCCCCTCTTCATCTGGGTCCCTCTGGGAGTTTTTTTCTGTTGACAGCTTCTCCTAAAATAAGCTCTGAGGACAGCCAAGACTTTCCTCCTGACTCCATGGTGACTGGAAGTTGGAATTATTCCCAGGTGACTGTCCATGTTCATGGCCAGGAAGTCCTGTCAGAGGAGACAGTGCATCCAGGAGCAGAGCCTGAGTCACCTAGTGAGCTGCAGGATCCTGCGCAGACCCTGACCCCCGAAGAGCCTCATGAGGAGACCACACAGAGCCCAGACCCGGGGGCACCAGCAGAGCAGAGCCTGTGCCATGAACTGGAGCTCCAGCCCCTGCAAGAGAGCGGTGGGAAGCCTCAGCAGAGTGCGGGGAGGGGGAGCACTTCTATACCAGCAAAGCTGGGTAGAGGAATAACTCATAGGATCCAGGGTGTTGAGGAGACAGCACCAGCTGGAGTCCCCATGAATAGGGCTAAGCTTAGAGAGCAATGCTCTTGGTCATCCTCTTAGCATCTGATAGTTTATAGGTCATGTTGGGATTACTTGAGCTGCCCTTAGGCCACTTTCTTGATTCCCACCTCCCACCAAAGGTGATGGGGGATGCTCAGTTCTTTGGCAGTTATAGGGGTGCACTGCATATTGCTGATTTCTGCCACCTTTTCTTTGTAGAGGTTCCAATGCCCCGGGACCCTGGCCTTCCTGAGGAGAGGAACACCGGAAACCCAGAGATGGTTGCCCTTCTTACAGCTCTGTCACAGGTGCACCCTCCTGTCCCTCAATTCCACAGAGAATTTGAAGGACCTTGCGGTGTTAGCCATATGCTCAATAGGTCAGACAGGACACAAATTTCCACTCTTCTTTTCTCAGCTTAAATTCTTAGTTCTTCACTTGTGGGGAGAGGGGGGTTGCATCTAATGAGATAAATTATAATAGTCTCAGTTGGATCTACAGGCTCCAAAACCCCTTTATTTGCCACTGACCAGAGGGACTAACTGAATGGGATTATTTTGTAACATTCAAGTACAACTTAGACATTGTTGAATGAGGGTTTGTTTTGGTTTTTAGGAATAAACTTGACAGTCATTTGTAAGGGTGACTGCTGCAGAAATGATTTCTGAAATTGCATGGTGTACTCTAAGGATTGCATTCAGTCAGGCTACAACATTGATGAAGACCAACTGTAGTCAGAGCCCAGAAACTAAGCTCTGTGGCTGTGGGGAAAAGGAATAGAATTTGTCTGTGTTTTTAGACTAGTCTTGCTGAAGAAAAAGTCCTGTGTATGCTCTGTAGACATTGTACATGACAAGGGTGATTAGAGATCAGTTGGGGGAAGCTCCCTAGAAAAGACAACTTTATAGAAAGGTAAATGGTATTAAAGCATCAGATAGGGGGTTGAATGATGACTTTTAAGACTTCTTTTGTAAATAAACAATACTGTCAAGAAGAAGAGCATAGTTCTGAGAGAAAGTAAGACGAGGGAGCGGGAGTAGGCCAGTGTCAAAGTGCAAAGTCAGGAAGCAGTGAGACAGGGTGAGACATTTCCTGAAAGGGAGCCAGGGATCCCATTTGAGTTACTTTTGTCTTCTGGGTGGATTCTGCCTATACCAGAGACCTTCATTCCAGGCACTGTGAGGCATCACATTTTAATTGGATCCTGCTGTTGTTTCAGGGATTGGTAACTTTCAAGGATGTGGCTGTATGCTTCTCTCAGGACCAGTGGAGTGATCTGGATCCAACACAGAAAGAGTTCTATGGAGAATATGTCTTGGAAGAAGACTGTGGAATTGTGGTCTCCTTGTGTAAGGAAGTTTAAGTGTTTCTAGAGTGTTCTGAGCACAGAGACCTTTCTCCTGTTGGAAATTATGGGGCCCTAGAGCTTAGACTGTATGTACCACACTTCTCTTATGCCTGCCCCACCAATGAGATTGAAGGATTAGCTGAGTAAGATGATATCCTTCTAAGTTAAAGAGAAGAGAAAATGCTTAGAAAGTAGTTGGAAACTTCTAATAAGAAAATCAAGTTATAATATTATAGCTTTAATATATTTGAGGTAAGCATGAGTTTTAAAACAAGCAATAAAAGTTGGAGATAATCTACTTATTTGAACATGGGAGAAGAGAGTAGCATTTACAGTTGTATAATTACTGAGTTATAGGTAAAAGGCAAAAGCTATACAGTACTTAGTTGGGGGTGCTCAAGCTAAAGAGACCAAAGATTTGATCAACTGACCTGGCTGATCTGCTTTTAACATGGCATTGTTTAACCAATCGTAATGTCCTATTTCCCCTCTCAAACAGCATTTCCAATCCCCAGGCTCGATGAGATCTCCCACGTTAGAGAAGAAGAGCCTTTGGTTCCAGATATTCTAGAGCCTCAAGAGCCAGAAATTCTGAGTTTTACCTACACAGGTGAGGAAAGACAAAGGGGATCTTCCTCCCTTGAGCTGGTGGTTCTTTCAGTCAGTGCTCCTCTCTCCCCGTGGGGTACTGCCCTCATTGGTTCTTGTGGTTCGCCAGGCAGTACCACCGTCTGCCTCTAAACACCAAATTCTCTGATCCTTTTCCTCCTCTTACCCTGCCCAGCATTCGTTTGAGGTCTGTGTAATACAAAATGGCGAAAGGAAAAAAGTCAGGACTTTTGGAATTGCATCTAAACCGTTTATTAAGCAATTCAGTTAAACTCTAGATCCTCAGTCTCCACATTTGTGAAATGAAGATGATATTTGTCCAAATTAAGGCTATTGACAGCTTGAGATAACATAAAGTGCCTGGCATATGATGGGCATTCAGATGACTATTTCCTTTTTTCCCCCACATCTAGTTATGAAATATGGGCTTCTCACTGTGTGGTCTGGGCCTTCCAGAACTCTGTTTTAAAATCCCCCCATTATGTAGAAGGCATCATTACCTCTGTAATTTTCTCTCTTCACCCTCTCTTCAGGAGATAGGAGTGAAGATGAGGAAGAGTTTCTTGAGCAAGAAGATCTGAATTTGGAGGATCTACACATGTCTGTTTCAGGAGATCCAGAAATCCACCAGACTCCAGATTGGGAAATAGTCTTTGAGGATGATCCAGGTAGACTTGATGAAAGAAGATTTGATACAGATATTTCTCAAGTTAATAGTTTAACTGATCTTCGGGAAACCATACCTATTTACCCCCTGTTAGGGAGACCTCATGGCTGTCCTATATGTGGAAAAAGTTTCACATGTAACTCCCACCTTGTTAGACACCTGAGAACTCACACAGGAGAAAAACCCTATAAATGTATGGAGTGTGGAAAAAGTTACACACGGAGCTCACATCTTGCCAGGCACCAAAAGATTCACAAACTGGACACCTCTTATAAATTTCCCCTAAACCAGAAGAATTTGAATGAAACCCCCCCTCTGGTCCCAGCTGAGAAAACACCTGTTGAGAAGCCCTATAGATGCGATGATTGTGGAAAACACTTCCGTTGGACTTCAGACCTTGTCAGGCATCAGAGGACACATACGGGAGAAAAACCCTTCTTCTGTACTATTTGTGGCAAAAGCTTCAGCCAGAAATCTGTGTTAACAACGCACCAAAGAATCCACCTTGGAGGCAAACCCTACTTGTGTGGAGAGTGTGGAGAGGACTTCAGTGACCACAGGCGGTACATGGCACACCGGAAGATTCATGCCGCTGAAGAGCTCTATCTCTGTAGTGAGTGTGGGCGATGCTTCAGCCATAGTGCTGCATTTGCCAAGCACCTGAGAGGACATGCCTCAGTGAGGCCCTGCCGATGCAATGAATGTGGGAAAAGCTTCAGTCGGAGGGACCACCTCGTCAGGCATCAAAGAACACACACTGGCGAGAAACCATTCACATGCCCTACCTGTGGAAAGAGCTTCAGCAGAGGCTATCACTTAATCAGGCATCAGAGGACCCACTCAGGAAAGACCTCCTAGCTAGGACCCCATGTTAGGAGATCTATATTCAGCCCCAACCCAGGGATAGGCTAGGAGAAGCGCTCTGGTCATCCCAGGGAGACCTTTACTAGGGAGTCTCCCTGACTTGCCCAGATTGACATAACCTCTTCCCACAATTAACTAAACCCTCCTGGGCAGAACCTCCCAACTTCTCCTTAAGGAGCTATTTTGCCCAAAGTACAACCTGAATTGAGGTTTCTCCTTGACTGCAGTGCTCCTGCCTCTCCTGTGGGTATGAGGTAAGAGAATTAGAAGTTTTAAGAGTTGCGGTTAATGTTTTCCCAAAAATGGGCTGTTAGATATCCTAAAGACTACTCAACAGCCTCAACTTAAAGTTGCCCGGGACAACAACTTAAGTTTGGTAAGGCACCAGCCTGTGGGCTCTCCTTACTGGGCTCAGATCTTAAAGCACACAGCCCTGAACTCAAGGCCAGATATTTGCAAACTGATTGCTTTGCCACCCATTCACAGGATAACTACATCTCACTGACTCACTTCCTCACCATGCACTTTCCTTGATACTGGGGAGAGATGGGAGAAGTGTTGGGGCGAAAACCTCAAAACTGCTTCCCATGGACCTTGTCAGGGAGCTCTGTTCCCCACTGTCAGTGACCCCAGGTACCAGACGCTGCTGAAAAGGAGGCCTTGTCAGAAGCCTCTTTCCTTGTGGGTGTTTTTTTTCCTGTCAGAGTACTCATGCTGTCAGCCTTCCTACTGTTCTGCCAGTCTCAGTTTTGTCCCTAGCACCTTTTTTACTACAACTGGGATATGGCATTTGGGTGCCAAGGGATTTAGTAAGGCATCATTAAGTCATACTGAAAACATTTACATTCCCACATATGTACAAGCCCACCCACCCCACCCTCTTCACAGGAGTTTGTGAGGGAGTTTTGGAACAGCTTCAACTTACAAAGGCAATATAATAATTACAGAATAATGATTGACTGGGTCACATCACTTACATGAAGAAAACTGGAGAAGTTATGAGACCATATTATGGAAAAATTAAAAAGCTGTTGCCGCTGGCCAAGGCTTTCAAGACTACTTTGACACCTAACCCCCAAAATGCCTACCCTGGTTCTCTGGTATTAGGAAAAATTATGAACCCCAGCACCTGGGACCCTGAAGCATTTACCAGGAGTAAATGGCTTTCATGTATTTACATTGTTTGCTTCTTACGTGATTTCATTCTCATGTAATTAATAACTAAATAATACTATCTCATGGCCCAAGGATCTCTGTTGCCTGATAGAGGTTCCATGGAAGTGAGGCTGAATAATTACGAACCTTACCTGCTTTGATTGTGGGAGTGGCAAGGACTAGGGAGACTGTCCTCCATAAATAGAGCACAGGGTATGGGATTAAAGCATGAGAAGAGGGAGACACCTGTGCCTGGTTTCTTCTGATTTTCAATCCGTGTGTGCCAGTGTATACCAGAGAAATACAGGTGGGATAACAAGGCCGCAACCCTAACAGCTCAACAAGGAAGTTCTCATTTTGGTTAGTGATACTCCAATTGACCGGTTTGATTTTAATACCAGTCAGCCATTGTCCTTCGGAAATACATGAAATAAATAAAAGTAACACTGGCAGCCAAGTTCCCTGGTGTCTGAAACTCCATCTTACCTATTCACTTTGCAGGGCTTCAGGTTCCTAGTTCTGAGCATCATTCACACAAAGAGATGAGAGAGTACGGAATAGTTTTCCATGATAGAGGAGGTGTGGCACAGTTAGCGAAGCCACAGGTGGAACATATGCACACAGGTAAGACCTGAGCCTGGAGTTTGCAGAAGAGACTATCCTAATCTGCAAACATTTCTGAACCATAGCTCTACACAGTTTGTTCTGGGGGAAATGTCAAAGCTTAAAAAGATAATTTCTAGCTACTGCCATTTATATGGAAGCTGTTAAAATTCGGGCAGTAACAGAACAAACTACCTTATTTGCTGATTTCTCTAAATTATTGCAATAAATGAAAATCTGTTAAGAATTCTACATAAGGAAAAGTTTGAGAGACTGGCCCAGTTTGTTGGAACATAGTTTTTTATTGCTGATTCCCCTGCAAAATTTCATATGCTAACACTCAATCTCTGGTCTCATAAATTACTGTATTTTCTGAGCTTCCTGGAGGGACATGCCTTCTAAATCTGAGCACAAACTGGCCCTGTGCAGCAGCAGTGCCAGGATAAGATAGGAACCTGGAGTGAACAAGCATACAGCTGAACATAGGAAGACTCAAGCACAGGATAGTCTTCCCGTTTGAGGGCCCCCTGTGGGGTTTTCTTGAGCACTGATACCCAGTGTTCCTGAGGACCGAGACACATTTCTGAGGAGGAAAAAGGCAGGGTTTTGAAGATACTGGGAGGAAGCTATAATGTGTAAATCAACAACCTAGAGAATTGCTAGATTGTTGGAAATGGTGGAATGATGAGCCAATAAAGTTACAAAATTAAAATAGTATTCAAATATTTGGCCACTGGTTTAGGAATAACGAAAGGATATTTGACTCCTCCATCCCAAAGTCCCATGAGAAATAAATAGAAAAGAGAGAAAGGCAAAATAAGTTTTTAGAACTTTGGCTTCAAACTGGAGCAGAATTGTAAACTCCAGTGAACTCCTTGGAGAATTTATTAACATCAAAATACGAGGACTGAAGCCCAACTAAGTGATGGCTCTGGTAGAAGATGCCTTTCCCAAGGGGCAGCAGAAATGTGGCCGAGAAAATGCCCCACTGAGTCCTGCAACGTTGGCAGAGACTGTTGGCTTCAATCCTCTCCAGTCAGGATGAGGCAGGAAAGCGGGAGGAGGGAACAAAGGCCTAAGCTCTTACCCCTCCTCTTTCCCATCTTGGCTGAAACATCACAGATGCGGCCTTCACTGTCCCCCGCTCCCCCCTCCCCAGTTTCCTAGCTGAGAGGACCAAATCCCTATCTGGCGAAGAGGGGTACGGGCTAGCTGCGTTGGCGGTCACCCCTCCAGTGTCAGAAGCCCGGGACCACCCTGTCTCTCCCCCCTTGCCCACATTTAATAAACACCTACCCAGACCTTATGGGGGCGTTTTGTTCACTGAGGTCACCACTCATTTCTTGAGTGCGTACTATCGCTTTAATAAATTTACTGTGCTTTGCTAAATACTTTTGTCAGCTCTCGGATCCTTTCTTGGGCCATGACAAGAATCTGGACCCCAGTATCAGATTGAGGCCTCCCCTGGCCTCCCCAGGTGCTGCTGACATCAAGGACTGCAGTCAGTAGGTCACCCCTTTCCATGAGGGAAATGAGATATGTCCCCCAAAAGCTTTTTTTTTTAATCCTCCCGTGAGGATATTTTTTCCATTGCTTTTCAGAGAGTGAAAGGCGGAGAGAGAGAGAAACATCAGTGCGAGAGGGACACATTGGTTGCTTCCGCATGGGCCCCGACCAGGGCAGGGATTAAGCCTGCAACTGAGGCGTGTGCCCTTGGCCGGAATGGAACCCGGGAACCTTCCGTCCACAGGCCAAGGCTCTAGCCACTGAGCCAAACCAGCCAGGGCCCAAAAAACTATTTTAATTCACCAGACACCCAGGGCAGACAGCAACCCTGATGAGAGTTCATTACTTCCCTTGATGGTTTCGTAAACCTAAAGCTGGACCAAGAAATGGTAAATTTCGACGCACTGTGCTGATCAGTAATTTGGTCTCCTCGACACCAGTGTTTTAAATTGTTTAGTATAATAGTTACCTCTGAGACAGGTTAGGAAGAAACTAGGAAAATTCCCTGGCAAGTGGAATGAGGAAAATGAGACAAGTGGCCTGAAGAGAACACAGGAAGGCTGAACATAAAAGCACTCCTCAAAATGAATGGTCCATGGAGCATGGATGCAGCCAAGGAGGGAATTTAAAAGGCTATCTTTATCACAGGGCTAGAGGGAGAGAACCACACACTATGAGAAAAACTGCCCTGAGCCCTAGAAGAGCAAATTTGAGGGAAAGGGTGGGATTAGTGGGAGGGAGAATAGAATGAACCTGCTTTTTCTTAGTTTGTGATCCCTTCCAGTCTGTTATCACTCATTTGCTGAGCGTAGTCTGATCACTTTATGCTGGATGCTTAATGAAACTTACTTAATCGTTGTGTGTTACAGGGGTTTTTTCTTATTTCACAGAAGTTCATTCAAATGTACTCATTATGAGTGGAATGGCTTAAAAATCAGGACCATTCGACTCCAAAGCCAGTTATTTTACAGTAGCATACTGTCTAATAGAGCAGAGGAAATGTCAACTTTTCTCAGGATTAGGGAGACGAAGCATTAGACATGAGAGTTCCCCTTAATAAGGAAGCTTCCTATGTCCCAGGAGAAAATTCATCTCCCGTGCAAACTGTCTCCTCTCTTGAAGAATGGCTTTTGAAATCCTTGACTTCTTTAATGATTTGGAAGTTCTTGATGAGTTTACGGGTTTCCTCTGAGTAATCTCTTCTTTTAGAATCCACATTATGTACTTCAAATCTTTTCATTTCCCTTCCCACTTAACCTGTATATCTGTCTCCCCATTGCTGAATTCTTTGAAATGAGGGGTGGCGAGGGCCTCTGCCTTGGATTATAGCCTTCAGTCCCCTGTATGCCAAAGTCACCAAGTAAAGTTCATAGGTTTGTAGCCTGACTCCACCCCAAATCCCAATCTCCTACTTTTTTCTCTGTATTTTTCCAATTTTAGCAAAATTCTAAGTCTTTGCTACCCCTATGAGGCTACCATTTCAGTTTTGTAACCCAGGACATGAAAAAAACAATGTCCTTGACTTGTTTATCCAGTGTGATTGGGATCAGTGACTTGTCAGTTAACCTAAAAAGATCATGTTTTAAAAGGACACATCCATGCTTTACATCTATCTTAATTTCAACCATGTAAATCTATGTGTATTCCCCCTTTTAAACAGAAAAAAGGTATACTTTGTTCATTAATGTCTTGTATACTCACACTATTATTATTATGTTTCGTAAGGGTTCTTTCCATCTTATTGAGATATAATTGATATTTCTCATTTTGCAAAGTCAGTATTGCATGATAGTCTGAGTTTAAATCTAGTCCCACTATTTTCCACTTGTGTGACTCTGGGAGCAAACACATAAAACACTGTGCCAATTTCTTAAGTGCTTGACTATGTTCACTAATTTACTCTTTATAAGAACCCTATCATATTCGTCTTCTAGGGATGCCCTAACAATTACTCCACAGAGTAGAACAGAAATTTATTTTTTCAAAGTTCTAGGAATTTTTATTGACCACCTGCTAAACAAAAACAAAAAACCAAAAAAGGGAACCTGAGGGTAATGAGTGCTGTGCCTGACATCAACAAACCAAAGCCTGAACTCTGAGCTGCCCTGGGCCTAGCAAATGAGCAGGCTCTGCTCACCTGCAGACCTGCGTTTGCAGGTGCAGTTTAAGGAAATACCACTAGAGGTCGACTCCCAATGCTGGAGGCTGGTTCCCCCCACAGGGACTGTAGGTGTGCAAAACTAGTGTTAAGTGGAAAGAAATAGGGAAATATCTGGGATATGAATTTTTTTAAAGCTCCTTACTGCTGCATCAAATTTCAAGGGATATATATTAAAAAAACCTGGGCTGCTTGTAACCATTTAGGTCTTCGGACCTCGAATTCTCCGAAGCAGTCAAGCTAGGAGGCAATATATTCACCTTCTGGCACTGTGACGTAAGGAATCTAAACAGATGAGGAAAAGTGATCAGAGTGCCTAAGGAATGCAATACAAAAATACCATATGATTGATGTCCATGGACCTTTTTTGAAAAATTTATCTTTATTGTTGAAAGTATTACAAATGTCCCCCTACGTCCCCCATTGATCCTCTCCCCCCTGCAACTCTCCCCCCAGGCGTTCACCACACTATTGTCTGTGTCCATGGGTTATGCATATATGTATATAAATTTTTAGGTTAATCTCTCCCCACCCACCCACCTCTGCCTTTCCTCTGAGATTCGTCAGTCTCTTCTGTGCTTCTATGTCTCTGGATCATTTTGTTCATTAGATTCTACATTTGCATAAGATCATGTGATACATGTCTTTCTCTGACTGGCTTATTTCACTCAGAATAATACTCTCCAGCTCCCACCATCCATGCTGTCTCAAAGGGTAAGGGATCCTTCTTTTTTACAGCTGCCATAGTATTCCATGGTGTAAATGTCTGAGAAGATGCTTGATATGATTTCAATCTTCTTGAACTTGTAGAGACTTGTTTCGTGTCCTAACAAGTGGTCTATCTTTGAGAATGTCCCATGTGCACTTGAGGAGAATGCATATTCTGCAACTTTGGAGTGAAATGTTCTGTAAATGTCAATTAAATCCATCTGATCTAGTGTGTCATTTAGAGTCACTATATCCTTGTTAATTTTTTGTCTGGAAGACCTATCCAGTAAAGTCAGTGGGGTGTTAAGTTCCCTACTGTGACTGTATTGCTGTCGATCTCTCCTTTAAAGTCCTCTAGAAGTTGTTTTTTTTAGCCTGTGTGAATCTTTTGTTCTGAAGTGGGTTTCTTGTAGACAGTATATATTGGGGTCTTGTTTTTCTATCCATTCAGCTACCCAATCTTTTGATTAGAGTGTTTATTCCATTTATATTTCAGGTTATTATTGATAGGTACTTATCTATTGTCATTTTATTTCTTTATGCCTATGTTTCTCGTTCTATTTCAACTTCTTATTACAGCAGTCCATTTAACATTTCCTGCAGCGCTGGTTTGGTGGTGATAAACTCTTTTAGTGTTTTGTTTTGTTTTTTAATCTGGGAAACTCTTTATTTCACCATCTATTTTGCTGGATAGAGTAGTCTTGGTTTCAGGTCCTTGTTTTGCATTACCTTGAATACTTCATGTCTTTCCCTTCTGGCCTGTAGAGTTTCTGATAAGAAATCAGCTGACAGCCTTATGGGAGCTCCTTTGTAGGAAACAGATTGCTTTTCTCTTGCTGCCTTGAAGATTCTCTCTTTGTCTTGAATTTTTGGCATTTTAATTATGATGTGTCTGGATGTGGGCCTCTCTGGGTTCTTCTTGCTTGGGACTCTCTGTGCTTCCTGAACTTGTGTGACTATTTCCTTGACCAGCTTAGGGAAGTTTTCTGCCATTATTTCTTCAAACAGGTTCTCTTCCCCTCACTTACTTTCGACCTTTTCTGGCACTCCTATGATGTGAATATTGTTATGTTTCATGTTGTCCCACAGCTCCCTGAAACTGTCGTCCTGTTTTTTAATGGTTTTTTGTTTTTGGTTCTCTGATTGAGTGATTTTTTTCTACCCTGTCTTCTAATTCACTGATCCGATCCTCAGCTTCCTCTAATCTGCTGTTTATTCCTTTCAATGTATTCTTTATTTCTGCTATGGAATTCTTCATTTCTGATTGGTCATTTTTCATAGTTTCCATTTCTTTTCTCATGCTGTTGAACATCCTTATGATCAGTATTATGAACTCTCTA